TATTCTTAAGATAGATATATAGCTATATAAAGCAAATACTGATAAATATCTAATAAAGATATGAGCCAAGACCTCACTACTCCGCATTATTATTTACACTACCACTAAATTCTTTACTATCTACCCATCTCATAATTGACATTACTATTCTAAACTTTGGATCCCCTTCGCCATAATAAAAATTTTTTTACAGTTTCTTTCCCAATCTTTTCCCCAGTAAGTTGACGAATTTCACGTCTAACAGTTTCAAATGCATAATCTAAAGCTTCCCCTTCTTCCTTATTCGAAACAAAAACTCTCTTAAAACGGTTCCTATTTTCTTCAAGAGATGAATCAGATAATCGACTAGAAGAACTTTCGCTACTAGAGGAATGGTTGGCCACACTCAGTTGATCAAAATCGACCTGAAGCCTTTGGGCAATTGCATAACGTTGGACCATTTCATTTCGGAGAGCTTCATATTATTCTAATTTTAATTTATTTATTAATTTTTTAAATTTTTTTACTTTGATAATTTTGCTAATAATTTTATTAAAAATTTTAAATATTTGATAAATATCAAAAAATTTTTATTTTACATATTTAAACTATAATTTTAATATTATATAATTATATCTATTAATAAATTATATATAATTTAAATTAACAGTTTAAGATATTTCCTTATCTAAATATTTATATATAACTTGTTATATCAGATAATTTAATATATTTTAAAAGTTATATCAAATTATTATTTTATAATTAAATATTATTAATCTAATAATATCTATAATTATAAAATACACTATAGGTATTGTTGGTGTTAATATGTTTTTAGCTAAAATTTAGGGTTGGGTGCAACTTTAGAATAAGATAGAGGTTAGATATAAAAATCCAAATTTTAGTTTTGGGAGTTCTGAATATTTTTACTTAATATCCCAGAGAGGTGTTAGCAACTATGATATTTAATATTTTTAGTATATTTTAGTAAACTTGTTTATAAAAAAATAAAAAAATAATTTATTAAACAAAAACTAAGAAAAAAAGAAAAAATTAAATTAAACAAAATATTTTATTTATAATAATTTAACTGTCACTAATACTTGATATTATATTTAGTAGCCAAATTATAAATCTAGTTAAAACTCTTTAACTTGAGTTATTAATAGTAAATTCTATATATGATTGTAAAATTATATATATTTTACTTTTTTTAACTTAAATTATATTTTTTTTTGTTTTTTTCTATTAGCTAATTATATTATTAACTTATGTTTATTAAAGTTTTGTTGCTACTAATAACAATATACTATAATATAAATGAAATTTTATTAGTATTTTTATACATATTTTTTATTAATATCTTTCTTAAATTTTACTATATATTTTATATTATTATTGTATATTTTATCATTTTATTAGTTTATTTATATAGTTTATAGCCTATTTTATTTATTTTAGATATTTTTATAGTATACTTTTTACAAAATTTTATTTAAAATAATATTTGTTTTAATAGTTTGTTTAATATAACAGAGTACAGACCAAGGTTATACAAGGGTATACAAGCACAAAAAGTATCTTAAGATATTCTAGATCAATATATTAATAATTATTTGACTTTATTACTAATTTTAGATATCATAATATAATGATTTATAATTGTATTATATAGCATTATTTCATAATATAGTATTATTATTGTTATTGTTTTTTTTTTTTAGTATTAAGGTGAGGTCTTGGCTCATATCTTTATTAGATATTTATCAGTATTTGCTTTATATAGCTATATATCTATCTTAAGAATA